TAAGAAACAATGGTAAAACTGGTAGTATTGATCAATACTAATGAATCCGAAAAACCCTAGAGCCCAGCAAGTGTTCTATTTCTCTTCTATTACGTGAATGTCATCAGCTTCAGAGGTACTAAACAAACAACTTCTGAGAATGTACTTACCGTTTCAAGTAATTTCTTAAGGTCAGCTGGTTTTGGTAGATTGTCAGTAGAGTCGCTCAGAAAACAAGCTTTCTGATTGGACATTCGGTGCATTGCCATGTTCTACACCAAAAGACAAAAGGAAAACAGTCACATATTTACTTGGCAGCAACCATTTAAAAAATATTATTACACGCGCAAGGGGTGCATTGTCAATAAACAAGGCTTAAATGCGCGAAATCAGAGAGAAAGAGAGCAGTAAAAGTAGGCCATTCTGAAAAGACGACGCAGAATAAAGAATAAAGAAAAGAAGGAAGGTAGGAAGGACGAAAGTAAAGGAAAGAGAGAATGTAAAAGAAGCAAAAGGAAGGGAATATGCCATATTTCAATTCTGACCTACAAACTCACCTGTTTGAAATCGTAAACAACATCGACCTCTCCAGGGGCATCGGGGCTGGTGTCGCCATTACTTGCGATGTGAAAGGTTTCTGTTTCCTTTTTGGTGTCAATTTTTATAGTTTCGTCTAGATCTTTGTCTCCATCCTTGACTTTAACTTTGTACTCCGAAACCTTATCGTTCAAGGTAAAAAAAAGTAAGCAAACATAATCACTGAGTGTTAACCATTCCACCTATTTGGAACGCTACGAGGCCTTGCAAGAATTTTTACATAAAGAATTTCTTCAAATAATTGCAGACTTGAACATCACAGTTAACTTTGAAATGTATCTTCACTGATGAAGAACTCGAACTCGTTAGAAATCCGGCGCCTTGTTTAGAATCACAGAGGCTATCATAGGATTATTAAACGGCTATTATTTCCGAAATAGCCTTCCGAAGCTTAAGATTTTTGTCACCCACCGGTTAATAATGCGTGGAGGAGCGTCGATATAGATGGAAAATTGAGATGCTGGATTTCTCTTAACAACATTTTAAAATTAGCACAAGTAACTCCCTTGCTTTTCAAGTGACTAATGCAGAAAACTTAGCCTGCTGTAGAATATCATTGGTTTTGAACGCCGATACACCATCACGGGAATGAAATTCGAAAAGCAATAAGTACATCAAAATGTATCGGTTTGTCTCCTTACCTTTTTCTCATCTTCTCCGCTTTTATAAACTGTCGCTCCTGAAGCGACGACAACAAAGACAGCGAAGGAAAGGATCAGAACTTTGAACTCCTGGTGAAAGAAAACGAAAAACAACAAAAAAAAGGATCAATTAATGTTGCAAATCCTTCTTCCCAGTTTAAATTGATAACATGGTACCACTAGTACTAGTAAGTAGCTCATTTTTATAAGATGGCGTGCACAATATACAGTAACTAACCATTGTAGAACCCCTGTTTTGAAAACAACTCTTGTTTTCTTCTTGCTCTTGATGCACAGACTTTCAAATTTGAAATTGATTGCAAGGTAGTGCAAATCAGTCTTTTTTACACCATCTGCTGGCCTGTTTCATGTTCCTGGTTACGCTCTCAACGAGAACAAGCACTTCCTTTAGCGTGTATTGTTCCAAAAGTGCGACGATTTTTACCACGAAAACCATGAATTGACACGAAGGAGTGTTATTAGCGATTTTGTTTTACGAATTTATAAATACTTGTTATTTGATTGAAGTAGTAATCAAGTTTTCTTTGTTCAAGGCAGGCATTCATTCATGTATTTCCACCGCACTTTTGCTACCCAACGTGACTGTTCGAGGGTAGCAATAATTTATACAAGACAAACTAAACGTAATATTACAACTTAAGCTGGAGAATAAAGTTTCTACAACAAAAGCAAATGATTTATTAAGAGTTCTTCAGTTTACA